AGAGAGAGAGAGAGAGAGAGAAAGACAAAGAGACAGAGAGACCGAGAGAGATTAAAAAGTAGAATTATTCTGATACCTTCAAACAAAATAAAATAGTCGGAAAGAAATCGGTTTCACTTTTTTTTTCTCATTTTCGGTGAAGCTTTGAAACTCTACTTGACACGCTTACGGCAGAGATCAAAACACACGTGTGAGGCGGCGTGGTTGAATCAGGCTCTCGTCAAAGTTTTGGCATGAGGAGTTATTGATATCATCTTAAAGCTTGTTCACCTGTCTTTATTTGAATGAAACAAAATGTCCATTTATCTTGAATGCAAGTTGAGATATTTGCGAATGAAGGAGGTGGGGGTCACCTCTTTTCAGGGGTAAAATTAGTGAGAAAATGGCCGCCAAAGAGTAGTTATTTCCTTAGCTTAAGAGTCAGTGGTAACTGAAATTTACATTTTTGTGCCTTTAATCAACGTTTTTAAGAAAAATCCACTCAGAAATTAGTTCTTTAATGGGCATGAAAGGCGATGAGCCAAAAAAAAAAAAAAAGATAAATATTCCCAGACCTGCGGAAAAATGCACGTTTCTTCACTTTGATTATATTGACGAGAGCCTGATTCCACAACGCTGCCTCACATGAGATAACACAGACAGAAGCAACGGCCCTTCCATAAAACAAGCTGTAGTGTATGAATGCCATAATAATATCATAGAGAGTTCCAGAACGCGCCCTCACTCCAAAAATAGGTCACCGGTCGGAGAAACTTATCACAAACTCGGCCCCACTTGGCATTGATTATGCGAAAAAGAGACAATATAGCAACGTAATTGAATGCAAGATTGATGTGCATGGTTGAGGGGGGGAGGGCATGAAAATGTTTCCTTTATACATACCCAATGGAGAAGTGTGAAAGAAGAAATCGCGAAGTGTTACCATTGAATAGTTTGTCCAGAAAATGTCTTTCGAACTGTTCCACTGAAATCACACGCTTTATCTCAACCCTCATTAATTTCTATCTCATTTTGATGGTTGATATCCAACATGAATAATATATCGTGCTAGTAGTCCGACTCTTACCTCCTGTGTATTAATGATAAGCTCCGCAAAGAGCTTAATATTATGTGGTTCTTTAATCATGAGATCTACGAATGCCATGGCAATACCTTATAGATCGAATAAATGCGATACCTCAACGCCCACGCCAGAGACAATTTTTAAAAAATAGATAGATAGATAGATAGATAGATAGATAGATAGATAGATAGATAGATAGATAGATAGATAGATAGATAGATAGATAGATAGATAGACGGCATAAACACCCCCACAAAATATACATTTACTGAAGTGAAAAAAAAAGCGTCTACGTTAGCTGAACTCTATTTTCAGAGATAAAACCACATCAATTTTTGTCCTTCGTTTGAGGGAGATAATAGGGCTTGTTCTTGTTCTTCTTGTTTTTAACCTTGCTCTTGTACTTGTTTTTGTTTTTGTTCTTGTTCTTCTTGTTCTTGTTCTTCTTGTTCTTGTTCTTGTTCTTGTTCTTCTTCTTCTTCTTCTTCTTCTTCTTCTTCTTCTTCTTCTTCTTCTTCTTCGAACCTCTTCTTTACGCATGCATCAAAGTGAGTTTTTCTCCGACGAAAATTGTACCCAAAATTATGTATTTTTCCTTGCTTTTTTTACATTTAGAATTTGAATTTCAACGAAATACGTCCGGAGCACTTTACGCAATGGATATCGCAGATTAAGAAATTACATTAAATACCACTGTACTGTCTCCCTATTTAGGCCCTCTCGACACTTGTCTTAGTCCGATAAAATAGGCTAACATTAAAAATGTCACCTTAGCAGCGACTTTGCCCACCATTTGAGAACTTCACGGTGACTTTAAAGATGGTTCCAGTAGAGAACGGGATAGAGGGGCCCAGGTCCCTCGTGACTCATTTGAGCAAAGGAAGATAGGAATAACGCTAACAGTACTTAACCCTATCCATATGCCCTTGGTTCATTTTGTACCCCCGGAGTTGTATTCTTCACGTTCTAGAATACTTCTAGTACGGAAATCTCTTTGAAACTTTCAGTATTTCTCAGAAAATCATTTTGACAGACTGCTATGCAAAGCGTACGGATCGGATTAACGAGTAAATTTTCTTTTTGGAAAGTGGTGGCACAGAGTTCCCTACGTCGTGTGGATACGATAGTAAAACACGACGTACGGATAAGGTTTAACTCAATCCCACATCATCACTCATCACCACCTTTATTTCTAAAAGCATCTTTGCCCACAGATCATTGACATGCATCTATGACCCTAGAATCTATTTTTGAAAATGTTCATTTTAGATTGATAAATTTACACTTGATTTTTATCTTTTGAATGAACCCAGGTCTCTATGGCAAATCTAATATTGACCAGCTGACCATTGATCAGATAGCACTGGCCAGGGAAGATATGCTGGTAGAGGAAGCAAAGGTAGCCTTCGAAAAAGACGAGGCCACGAAAGTAAGTACGAGTGCTTAAAATAATTATGTGTGTGTGTGTGTGTGTGTGTGTGTGTGTGTGTGTGTGTGTGTTTGTGTTTGTGTGTGTGTGTGTCTGTTTGTGTGCGTGTTTA